GACTGCCGGTTGGCCGGATTGTGAGGCCACAAATAGCTGTGGTTCCCGATCTTGAGTATAAGGAATAGGCAGGCAACAGCTAATCGAGACTACAGGCAGCTCCTGAATCGGGCTCGTTGGCAATGATTGGTAGCTGATATCGAAGGGGCGGTGGGCTGAGATTCGAGCCGTTTGATGTGGGACAGCCTAGCCGGGCTTCGTCGACGAAGGTTCTTGTTTTGCGGCGATGGTCTGTCGGGGACAAGGAAGAAAGGCGCAATTCGAATGAGGGGAGGCAGAGATGAGGACAGAGGAAAGTTCCAGACTGGTCGAAAGAGAGGAGACAAGCCGATGGGCGTGGTGTTGGGCCGAGTCCGGGTCGGGGTTTTGTTTATGTTCATACACGGCGGACGACGATCCCGCCGGGAAACACTGAGGACTGGAGGCGTTGCTCTTGTAATGAAAGTGGTTGCTTGGGGACGTCAGATTGGCCTGCACCTTCCATTGAGATCGCACGTTGCCTCGCCTCCTACCCAGGGGACCTCAGGCTCCTCGAGTAGGTACCTAAGGCCCCTTTGGGGTTGGCCTTGTAGCATGCAAGACCTGGGGGACTACCCAAGTAAGGTCTGTGAGGTCCAGGCGGTGACCTCGGGACTGAGGAGCCCTAAAGGAACAACCCAGCGAATGGACCACCTAAGTAAAGTGCTGATTAAGAGTGGTGCGGGGATAGGAACGGTCCTGGGACCTACCAGCTAAGTTACGTGCCTAGGTACCTAGTCGCCTAGGTAAGTTGTATGTGTGTGTGCGTACTCCGTGCCTTAGCACCTTAGATAGGTAGGTTCCTGGGAGTGTTTTGGCGCCCCACCTCGTGCTCTGGGCACCTTCAAAGTATTTCCTCTCGAGGTATCCGTAAGCGGAGTACCTGATTCCTTTCATGTATGTATAAGGGGCCCCACGATAACATACGTGGGTACCGTACAGATACCGCCAGTATTACTCACCCGTCAACCCCTCACCACCCAAGTGTCGATGCTGAGATGACTAAGGAAGGTAAACTGAGTGCTGGTCGTCTGAGATGACTTGGTCGATTGCCCCGCGCTCGATAAGTCAATTGAGAAAAAATTACCCCACTGACTCACCTCTCACACTGAACCCCTCCAAATACCCCCAAGTCACCCACGTCCTCACAGATCCATATCCTCAGCATCTTGGTTTTTGACTCACATGACCCATTGACGCCTCTTCGTGGTCTTCCTACGAGCCTTTCGTATTTCGAGGGCTTGGCTTCGTTGATCACGCAGCTCCCGTCTCCTTTACTCAACGAAACACTGCCGACCAAATTCACTACTGTTTTTGGTGTGACAATATTCGGTTCGGCAGAGCCGCATACCGCAACCAGGTTACGTTCTCTTACGCGGTTCTTGACTACGACTCCGTCGCCTTTCGATCAACATCATGTCTATTGACTTCCCCAAGGAGGAGGAGGCTGTCCTCCAGAGATGGCGCGAAATCAAGGCATTTGAGCGTCAGGTAAGGCCCGATCTCCGTTGCCTTCAGAGACAACAATCGCACTCTCTGTTTGCGTTGATGCCATTTCGTGTTTGTTTGTTCTCGTACTGACAATCATTGCGCACTCAGCTCGAGTTAACACAGGGCAAACCCCTTTACACCTTCTACGATGGGCCTCCTTTCGCCACTGGTCTTCCTCACTATGGCCACTTGCTGGCCTCCACCATCAAGGACATTATCCCGAGATATTGGTCCATGAAGGGCTTTCACGTTGAAAGGCGTTTCGGGTGGGACACCCATGGACTCCCTATCGAGCACGAGATTGATAAGAAGTTGGGCATTTCTGGCAAGGCTGCTGTCATGCAGCTGGGATTGAAGAACTACAATGCCGAATGTCGATCTATTGTCATGCGCTACAGCGGGGAGTGGCGCCATACCGTCGAGAGACTCGGCCGTTGGATTGACTTTGACAACGACTACAAGGTAAGACCGTGCACCGTGTATCGCATACCACTGAGATTGACTAATACCCGTTCTCTAAAGACCATGGATCCTACCTTCATGGAATCTGAATGGTGGGTTTTCAAGCAGCTATTCGACAAAGGCGCTGTCTATCAGGGACATCGCGTCATGCCTTATTCAACAGCCCTAACCACAGCATTGAGCAACTTCGAGGCCAACCAGAACTATCAGGATGTTAACGACCCTGCCATCGTCATCTCATTTCCCCTGATCGAAGATCCCGAGACTCACCTGCTGGCGTGGACGACGACTCCATGGACCTTGCCTTCGCATCTCGGCCTGGCCACGCACCCTGATCTCGAATACATCAAGATTCTTGATGAGAAGTCAGGCAAGAAATACATTCTGCTCGAGAAACTTCTTGGTACACTGTACAAGGACGTGAAGAAGGCCAAGTTCAAGATCCTTGAGAAGATCAGCGGCAAGTCCATGCTCGGCTGGAAGTACAAGCCCCCTTTCAACTACTTCTACGAAGAATATAAGGACGTTGCCTTCAGGGTTCTGAACGCTACCTACATTACTGATGACAGTGGTACCGGCATCGTTCATCAGGCACCCGCTTTCGGTGAGGACGATTACAACGTCGCCGTTGCAGCTGGCATTGTCACCGAGAACAGGGCGCCTCCTGACCCTATTGACGACAGTGGTCACTTCACCAACCGCGTCTCTGATTTCGCCGGCATGCACGTCAAGGAGGCCGACAAGCACATCATCAAACACCTGAAGGGTACCGGAAAGATCGTGGTCGACTCCACGCTCAAGCACTCATACCCCATGTGCTACCGTTCTGACACTCCTCTCATTTACCGCGCAGTCCCCTCTTGGTTCGTTCGCATCCCCGAGATCATCCCTCAGATGCTGGAGAATATCAAAGGCTCGCATTGGGTGCCCTCCTTTGTCAAGGAGAGACGGTTCGCCAGCTGGATCGAGAACGCCCGTGACTGGAACGTCTCACGAAACCGTTACTGGGGTACTCCCATCCCACTATGGGTGAGCGATGACTTGGAAGAGCGAGTGTGTATCGGCAGCGTTCAGGAGTTGCGTGAGCTGAGTGGCTACACCGGAGACTTGTCTGATCTTCACAGAGACAGCATCGACCACATTACGATTCCGAGCAAAATGGGTAAGGGGACTTTGAGACGCATTGAGGAAGTGTTTGACTGTTGGTTTGAATCTGGCAGTATGCCATACGCCAGTCAGCACTATCCCTTCGAGAATGTTGAGAAGTTTGAGAAGTCGTTCCCTGGTGATTTCATTGCCGAAGGCTTGGATCAGACCAGAGGATGGTTCTACACCCTACTTGTTCTCGGCACGCATCTGTTCGGCAAGATTCCATTCCAGAATTGTGTTGTCAATGGCATAGTTCTTGCCGAGGACGGAAAGAAGATGTCGAAGCGCCTCAAGAACTACCCAGTCCCTGATTTAGTCATGGACAAATACGGTTCCGACGCCCTCCGTCTCTATCTCATCAACTCGCCAGTCGTGCGTGCTGAACCACTGAGATTCAAGGAGTCCGGTGTCAAGGAGGTTGTTCAAAAGGTCCTGCTACCTCTCTGGAACAGTTACAAATTCTTCGAAGGCCAGGTGACGCTGCTGAAGAAGGTCGAGGGCATCGATTACACTTGGAGTCCAAAGGCCCTGTCGAACAATGAGAACGTGATGGATCGGTGGATCTTAGCTAGCTGTCAGAGCTTGCTGCAATTCGTCAACCAGGAGATGAGTGGTACGTTGAGATTCTTACGCCCGTTTCCATGAACCTCGCTAACATGGCTTTTCTACTAGCCTATCGACTCTACACTGTTGTGCCGCGTCTGCTCGGGCTCATTGAAAATACCACAAACTGGTATATCAAGCTCAACCGAAGACGTCTCAAGGGAGAGAATGGAGTCGAGGACACCCAACATGCACTCAACACTCTATTTGAGGTCATCTTCACGCTTTGCCGTGGCCTTGCTCCTTTCACTCCCTTCATCACCGACACCATCTACCAAAAGCTGCGCCCCTTCATTCCTAAGGAGGCCGAGGCAGAAGACGCGCGCAGTGTCCACTTTCTGCCGTTCCCTGAGGTGCGCCAGGAGTTGTTCGATGAGGTTGTCGAGCGCAGAGTCGGCAGAATGCAGAGGGTCATTGATCTGGTCAGAGTGTCTCGCGAGAGAAGAGCAGTTGGTCTCAAGACCCCGTTGAAGACGCTCGTGGTTATTCATCGCGATCCTCAATATCTCCAAGATCTCGAGTCTCTCTCATCTTACATCAAAGAGGAGATGAATGTACGAGATCTGGTCCTCACATCTGACGAGGCCAAGTACAACGTCCAGTACAGCGTTACTGCCGATTGGCCTGTGCTAGGTAAGAAGCTCAAGAAGGACATGGCGCGGGTCAAGAAGGCGCTCCCGACGCTCGGCAGCGACGCTGTCAAGGAGTACTCGGAGAAGAAGGTGATTCTCGTCGATGGGATCAAGTTGGAGGAAGGTGACCTCGTTGTGAGACGAGGCTTGAAGGAGGATGAGTCCTCGAAGAATCTGGAGACGAATTCGGACAATGACGTGCTCACCATTTTGGACGCGGAGCTTCATGTGGAACTGGCCCACGAGGGTCTCGCAAGAGAGATCATCAATCGCGTGCAGCGTCTCAGAAAGAAGGCCAAGCTGCAGCCGACGGATGACATTAAGATGGAATACAAGGTTATCAGCGACCCTGATAACATTGGCCTCGAAGAGGTGTTTGTCTCGCAAACCAAGGTCATTGAGAAGGCGCTCCGCAGACCGGTGGACAAGCACGAGGTTACTACGGTGGAGGGGGAGGCACCGAGCGAAAAGCAGAAGGGAGTCATTGCAGAAGAGGAACAAGAAGTGCAGCATGCGACATTCTTACTCCGCCTGCTCGAGCTTTAGATGCGAGGTATGCAGTGAGTGCAACCTCGCGGTAGCTTAGATCACTGGTGCATGCGTAGTTGAAAATGATGAAGGCCTAAGAGGTCCAAAGAGAAGATTGAGTTCACCGCAACAAGGTTCCAAGTCTTAGAGACTGGTCCATCGTGCTTCTGCTATGATTATTTTGCTTTGCGGGCAGCAACCTTTTGATTGAATGATCCAGTGTCAGCGACATGGTAGACTCGGTAGAGACAGAGGTGAAAAGGGGCAAGGTGGTGAGAAATACAAGATAGCAATCCTTCAGTCTGAGAAACTCCTTCAAACACTTATCCTTGTGGACAGAGTTGTAGTCGACAACGATGCACTTGCCGTACATGGAGGTCTACCTCTTGGTCAGTACGTCTTGGAACCATAAAGTAGCTGTGATAGGACCAGGGGCCACGACCGAGGGACTGACCTCTGCTGAACACTGGCTGACTGCGGCTGCAAATTTTTGGATGGGCCGTGTGCGAACCATGATAGCTGCTTGGGATGGAACTCGGATAGAAGGGGGTAGAGGCAGAATGTGAGATGTGATTGCCGCGCAAGTAATGAAATTTCGTCGTCAAAATATGAGGGTACAGGTGGCTGAATCTACCTCGGAACACATCAAAGACGTCGACGAAGTCTTGCCTTCGGGTAAGGTAGCAAGTAGGTAGGTAGGTAGGTAGGCAGTGGATGTAGGTACCTACAGTAAGGCTCCACTACGTACCAGGTAGGTACCTCAGTTGCCTCCTTCCTCTGAAGCAAAGCGCCTGGCTTGGCGAAATTGGATGGTCCCATATTGAATAAGAGGTATATTGAGCTAAACCTACGACTCGGTTATCTACATTATACTGCTCGAGCTACCTACCTACCTATCTACCTTACCACCTTGGGTACCTTAAGATGGCGGGGGACAAGTGCAGCAAAGGGCACAAGCTCTGGGCTTTGGTGGCACCTGTTTCGAGCAGGTTGACCAATTAGCAATGCGTCGCGACACCAGGATCAACTGCAGCCCAGCCAACAGCAGCGTACCCACAGCGGCTACCTTGTGTGCTCCGCCATGGGACGCGAAATAAACAGACGGGAAGAAAGAAAAGAATAGGAAGAGAAAATAAAGACGGGGTTGGGAGCGGCCATGTATTGACCACCTGCTGATGCCTGCAAATATATCTGTGTGTCTGTCTGGTCAAGACCGCTGCAGGTGGAGGAAGCAGCTAACACATCACAATATACTTGACCTGCCTATTGTGACAGCCGGCCTTGTTCCCGTCGACCTCGATTTTGGACATCCTCCATCGTCGCCCTTCGCCGACCACTTGCGACCTCGTTAGCCCCCTACGCGCCTAACCCGCAGCGCGCGGTGGACATGGCAGCGCCGCGACCAGCTTATCGCCATCATCCCGATTTGCGACTCTTGCGACGCGACTCAACCCCCGCTACCTGAGCAATCCGCTGCAAGACGTGAAGCTCGTTCAGTCTATTGCGATATCCGCTGTCAGCAGTACATTTTGTCGCGATCAAATGTATTCAGCATTCTTGCCCGACTATACACCATCACCTGAATCAAATCTGGCTCCTTAGCATTACGAAGGCAAGCTGCAATCGTCCTTGGCTACCGCTACTACCATCATCATCAACACTACTACCGCCAACACCACCACAAACTCTTCTACAGCCGTTCTATTATGCTCCCAGCCTGGCGCCAGTTCACATGCCGTCGCTGCCGCATCGCCCAGTGCTGGCCCCCCGTGACGGCATATCTAGCTTTGTGTCCGTTCAAAGCTCGGATTCCTATTACAGCGATCATGGTAAGTGCAGCTCAAAGTGCACCTTGACAGCATCATTGCCTACACCCCCCATGCCTTCGACTGCAAAGCGCACTCCGTCTGATGACTTCTCCCAGAAATCGCCATTCTACACCGTGTCGTCACGGCAGCCCAGGAGAATCTCGAACTCCTTCCCGAGGGCGAGCGATTGGCAACAAACGCCTTATTCCAGGCTTATGATGCCGTACTCCCCCTCTTCGGCATCGATCCGGAGGAGGAAAATCATATCTCGCGCCTCGTATTCCGCGTTGGCGGTGAACGCGGAGAAGGGTCACTCCAGGAGAAACTTGACGCCGTCTTGTCAAGGATGGGCATCGGCCTTGAGTTCGGAAGTGAAGGGTCCAGGGCATTATCAAACAACGGCGACGACGAAAACGAAGACGAAGACGGAGCTGGAGCCGGATATGAGGACGCAGCTCCGCCACAGTCTGCGCTTACGGACACCGACCGAGACTCTGACACGTCCGGAGACGAGTCCTCCAAAGACGTCGAGCTTGCACCCCGAGAACCATACGCGCCTCTGCCACCTTCGCAGGCGCAAGCATCACATCACTTGTACGATGCTGAATCTCCCCCAAGGCTGACGCGCGTTGGCTTGGTATCGAATCACTTGGATCTGAAGCCTGTCAACCATAAGAAACCGCCATCCCAAAGCTATACTCCCTCGACGGCTGGAAACACAGAGCAAAGTCGCCAAAGCCGGCAGTCGGTATCTGGCACCAGTGTGCAACGTGGCGCCAGCGACACCACGGTTCAGCCCATTGAGGCGTCTAATATATACCCTGCGAATGAGACCGAGGCCGCTGCTCTACCCATACGGACAAAGCCCGTAAGAACTGTAAACTGGGTGCTTCCGCCTGATATTACCAGCATCAGCACCGGCACCAGTGTCGGTGCTACTGCCCCAGAATCAGTTCGAAATGGGACCCTGGGTTCTGAGATCGCGGAAGACCATGTTGTGCATGATGTTGAGACACGGAATTCTCGTGGGTATGAGCTCGGTACCCAAAAGCCTTCAGTACACGCGCTTGTTGTACATGAATCTACGGCTCAGGAGATTACCACTCACCAAGCAGCCAAACAAATGCAACCTGTCGAAGAGCCCTCTGATGGCGGGATCGAGGGTGATAAAGCAGAGCCAGTAATTGACGATGAAATCAATGCAGACCCTGACGACGAAGCAAGATATGCACTACTGGAATGGAAATCGACCAAAGTGAAGGGGTACTTATTGCTCCTGAGAGGATTGTCACACTGGAAACAACACGCTCTCGACAAGCTCGAACGAATGGCCGTAGCCAGACGGCATATTTTGCGGATGCGCCACTTCGACCCGTGGGAGCTGGTCACGGCCGAAACTAGGATCCGGGGTCGTCGCGTGTTCACCTCCCGTCTTATGGCCTCATGGCTCAGGCGCGCCGGTGAAGACTTGGATACAGAATATGCAAGCTTGGCACATGCCCAAAGGAATACGGCCCAGAATGCCCTCAGACACTGGTCGACCTCCTGCCCAACCCCGATGGAACCTCGTTATCCGCCGCGCGTTGTGTCCATTTATCTGCAACAATGGCATTCAGCTTGCTCAGTTTCACAACGCCTTGAGTCGCACATGGAGAATCTGTACGAAGAATATGGAAGATTTCGGATCTTGAAGACATGGTCCCACCAAGCAGCGTCCCATCTGAGAGATGTTGCTGCATTTCGCAAATACCATGTCGTTCAGGGCGCCTTACACCAGTGGCATCTTGACTCAAGGATAGAGGTCTTCAAGTCCAAGTTGGAAATCAAGCTCGTTCGCAGCTGCTTGTCGAGGTGGCAAAACGGGTGCAGAGCGCCACCGACACTCGGCCAGACCAACGCCTTCAGCCGCGGGATTGTTGTGGATTCTGCGTCCGGCAGGGCCTTGCCTGGGCCGCGGCGAGGCGTGAGTTCCCACATGGCCATATCATATCGTCTGCTGAAGACCAAAGTCCTTGGCAATTGGCAACGACAAGCTTCCATGGTCGCCAAGTCGAGCACGAGATCGCGTCGGTTTGCATCGCATCAAGGGGCACATAAGGCATTGGAAATGTGGCATATTGACGTCGGTGAAAAAAGAAACCTCCAGAATTGGGTGCAGCGCGGTTGTTTCTACATCAGTGCCACACATGCACTCAAGACATGGCGCTCTAGATCTGCTTGGAGGTCAGGGACTCGAAAATCCTATGCCCGATGCAGACAGCACGTCAAAGCTACCTTCACAAAAGGCTATCTTAATCTGTGGAAGATAGCGAACCGTGCTCACGGAAACTTGGGCTGGAAAGCAGGTCAGCACCACATTGTAGCGGAACATGATCGTCTCATTGACATGCTGAAATTGTGGCGAGATGAGAGCAGTCGCGACTGGGGAACGGGCAAGCTTCTGACTGCTGCATGGGTGGACGAATGGAATGGAATGTCCCAAGACCTCGCTGTCAAAGAGGACCGCGTCAAACAGACTTGGTCGGTGAATCTGAAGTCACGTTGGTGGAGCCAGTGGCAATCATCTTTGCTGCAATTGAAGAGCCGAGAATACGTGGCACTGGACGTTAGGGAGAGGAACAGCAAGAAGGCCGTACGACGCCTTCTGCTACATTGGAAGGGGGACAGGAATTTGAGCACATCTTACCAGTCAACAACACTGAGAGCTAGCCTCGGCAGCTCAAGAAGAGGAGCTGGCTTTATGACTAGTCGCACTTCGCTACCACTCTCGAGAGCAGTTCATGAACGGCCCAGCGGACCAAGTCTTCGGGGTTCCAGGATACAAGAAGTGGAGCCAACGGCTGACGATGATGATCACGACGGAACCGGGTCAGGACCCGATACTGATGGAGTTGTGGCGGATACGCCGACCCGGTGGACGGGCATGGCGTCCTCTGTGAGGCTCCCGTCCATGACACCTTTTGCTCCCCTTCCAACGCCATTTGAACGAGAGCTCCGGGAACGGTATAACCGAAGCGTGCCTACAGCCGCGACTGGCCAGATGAGCAGCCTTTCCTTCGCACAGGCGCAAAGGCTCTCTGTGGCCGGGACACGGCGAGCAGCCACGGAGAAAACAGCGGATGTTGGCAGAGGTGTTTGATGGGACATGGGCGGAGACCCTTTATGAGAATAGGTGATATGCTATGGTCATGTGGATATCATGCATGTGTTTGGAAACCTTTATCCAGTAGACCCAGACTAGGTGGTTTTGTACTACAAATGAAGCCCTTTGGCATGGGCTAGAAATCGGTGTTTATTCTTCTAGTACTGTTGTGGAACAAATGCACATCATCAGCCTAAGGTAAGGTAAGATGTGAAATCTCTATCAGTCAGGCAGGTTGTTGGCTCCCCTCAAGGTACCTAGCTACCTACCTACAAATACCTTACGCAGTACAAAGGGTACAGATGCAAAGGGACCAACTGGGTAACATATAAGATGCCGGTCAAAGCCAGAGTAGCCTTGTTCTTATAAGCCGTGTCCAACAATGCATCCCTACGCCTACTCGGACTTGATTTATAAGGAATGATTAGGGCAAAATAAAATGAAAAGTGATAGTAGTAATAGTATGAAGAAGGTGGAGAGAGCTGAGACACCTTCCTGAGCGGCAAACAATCATGTCACTATCACCACTTAGGGACGTAAGGTACCGACCGACCCCACACCCCCGGGTTGACCACTCGCTGCAGTGCGCAATGCGCATACCTACGGTATACGGAGTAAGCACGGATACGTGACCTTCCTGTGCTTGGGAACCTTGCCATGGCATGGTCCAAGTTTAAGCTCCCCACAACACTTGTATTGACCGAACTTGGTCTATGACAGAGCTCAATTCGCACCCCAAATCAGATGAGGAGCCTTTGGAAAGACACACCACGTCTCAGATCCTAACTGAAGCCCAACCCGCGATACACGACAACTATCGACCAAGCAGACCCGGCACTACGTCCGCCTAAGCAATGCTGCTGTGGCTTTCTTGCTAGTAGGATGAGAGCAGTCCTCCCAGGTAGGCCGAGGTCTGGGCTCCAAGCTCTCGCGACGGGCTTTTGGGACTCGAGGCACTTCAATGTGAGCCACTTGATCATGCTTTGATGACCTTCTATCATTGTCGCTGCCATAGTGCTGACTTCTTGTCGCCCTCAGGTCTACATAACCGGCAGCGCGATTACGATCCTCGGCGATGCCGACACCATTATTCAGACAATATACGACGACGATCCGAGCCACTTGCAGGCCGCAGCCTTCGACGAATCCTCGGGCAAGATTACGACTTGCACCGAATCCGTCATTAGAGTCTACAAACCTTTTGGGCAGTCCGAAAATGCGCTAAAAGTGAGTTCGTTCTCCTTACCCAAACGACGTTGTCTTCGCCCTTGGGGTCCATCTACCACTCTGTTACCTGTTCCACACCTGTCGCCCGTACTAGCTTGCGAACAAACGCTGACGATACTCCTGTGTATCAGTGGGGTCTACAATCATCGTGGCCAGTTCCTGACCGCCAACATGCTACCAAGGGGATCTCTCTAAGCTGGGGTGGCAACGAGGAGCTCCTGGTTGCCCACTCCGCCTTATACTTATACTCAACCGCCGACGAGCCGGAACAGTTATGGAACAAACAGCTTCCAAATTCTGTGAAACTAGCAGAGATATCCTACGATTCAGCATACATAGCGTGCGTAGGCGCGCATGACTGTCTCGTCAAAGTTTGGCGCCGCTTGACATATGGTGCTGAAGATGTGCGCTTCGACCTGGCCTACCTACGCCACCCAGACCTGGTAGCGAGCCTGCGTTGGCGAAAACCGCTGCATACCGATCAAACTGTTGAGAACGTTCTCTTTACAACATGCGCCGACAATCTTGTCCGAGTATGGACTGGCACTGATACGCATGCCTTTCGACACATGAACCTTTGGGGGTCCGTCGATTTAGCTTCGTCCTTCCGAGACCTTGGACTTGGCTCCACCCGCCCTACAGCGCCGCTGGTCACCTTTGTCATTGATGGAAGAGAGGTGTCTGCTGCTACAGAGCTCGCCGTTCAGCGGTGTTCCGTGAAGGATAAACCACGCGATGCTGCTCTCGAACGCCTCATTTCCCTAGCCAACAACAGCGCCGAGCTATGTGTTGCCTCTGACGCCATTGGAAACATGATGATATTTGCTTTTGAGGACGTGGGTTCCAAGACGAGAAAGTCCCAGGATGCCATCAGAGTGACAAGCTTCAAGTCACACACTCTTGATTTCAGGTCTGACCAGTATGTCAGCATACAAAGCTATTGCGACCGAGCCACTGGGCGACTACATGTACTTATTCACGACTTTGATGGCCAGATACAAGTATACGACGCCGACTTAGCAGAGTTCCTAAGCGCAGAGAACAAGTCAGGCCGTCTTGCTCGGCGCTGTATCTGGGCCGGCCATTCAGCGCCAATCCAAAAAATGGTTCGGAATTTCAGTGGTCGAGCTGTTGTTTCTAGAACCGAGAAAGGCGAAAGTATTGTCTGGACGCACTCTGAAACCAGTCAGACCAGTTTATCATGCCAGAGTGTCATCCAGGGAAACGCTCATATTCATCGAATATGCGTGTTGCGCAAAGGCCGGTTTGTCATATTCCTAGAGCACGGGAAAATATCCTTATGGGACTGTCGGCACCAGAAAGCAATATTACTCGCGAGTCAATCGTACGAGATCTCAGGGAAGCCCCTGTGCTTATTGATTCTGCCTCGGCATCAAGTTGAGGAGTATGCCGTTGCTCACATTGCAACTGTCACATCCGAAGAGGAAGGGCTGGTTTGGGAAGTCAATTTACCTCGATACTCCAGTCAAGGTGCTGATGCACATGCCAATGGCCAAGAGAAGACTTCGATCAGCGAGTTTTGCAGATTCAAACTGAAAGACGCCGAGGGAATCGCCTATATGCTCCCTGTCGACCCGGCGGGATCTACGCCCGCCACATCTGGCTTTCTCGATGTATTTGCCAGGGACATTGCAGTGTCGTACACTCACGCAGGACGGGTAGACTTTTGGACAGCGAGGGTCGGCAATACGGGGAAAAGTGTCGGATGGCTCTCAACCTCCTCGGCAGAGACAGGTCTTGTCGAACCGGCCCTCGTCAGCGGCAGTACTCTCAAGAAAGCTGCAATCGTGGATTCCGCAAGGTCTCAGCTGTTCATCTGGGACATCGGTGGCGCTCGACTTGAGTTTACGCAGGACTATGGAAGACACAATACGATACAAGACCTCGACTGGACGTCGACGCCAGATTCACAATCTATCCTCGCCGTTGGCTTCCAATCGAAAGTAGTTCTGCTCAGCCAGATGCGGTTTGACTACTTGAACAAGGGTCCGGCCTGGGCTGCAGTCCGAGAGATCAGTATTCGTGAATTCACTCCACATCCAATAGGAGATTCGACCTGGCTAGGCGATGGACATCTTGTCATAGGTTCAGGTAACCAGATGTTCGTTCACGGGAGGGAGTATGACTTATCCGGCTCCTTGATCAACAGCCTGCAACTACCGCACAGGAAGAACGGCGTCTGGGATCTTTTTGACGCTGTTCAGAGGTTTAATGGCCCTCTGCCGGTTTTCCACCCTCAGTTCCTGAGTCAATGTATCCTTGCAGGAAAGAGCACCATAGTCCGAACGATTCTGATGTCACTGCACAAAACTCTCAAGTTCCTCATTGCAGGTGAGACGGTCGATGACTACCTGGGGCTCGAACCAGCGGTTTTCTACTCATCCGGGGTAAGGCATTTAGTCATTACATTGACCGTCACTTGAATTCAATATGGAGCTAAGGCTAACCCAATCACTAGGCCTCACCGACGCAAGCATCAGAGTCCCAAGTAGGGTCTCACTTCAGCCTGCAAGTATCTGCTGACGAGACAGACTCAGAGGAGCCTTTCAGCGAAGAAACCGCACTTGCCATCAATGGTCGTCTTACCAAAGTTGGCCTCCAACAGCTGTCGGGTCATGAGCAAATACAGCTGGCTGATATCGTTGAATGTGTGGGGATCGTCGAGAAGCAGCGCAGATCCCTGGACGAGAATGGTGCGCGTTTCATGCTCTTTTTCCGCCAGCATGGGCTCCGCAAGGGCCGGACAAGTGAAATCCAGATGTCCTGGCGAGAGATCAATTGGGCCTACCACTCGAACAGCCAGGATATCCTCACTGATTTCGTCTCCAAACAATGCCACGGTGCACTACGTTGGGAGGATGCGCGGGAGAGCGGCATGTTTATGTGGCTCACCGATCGGAATGCCTTAGTACGCAAGCCCTATTTGCACCGCCGAGCAGTACATATCAGCTAACGATAAGCGTAGCTTGCGCAATTCGAACTCGTTGCGCGTAATGAATACACCAAGAGTGAGATGAAGAATCCAGTTGACTGTAGTATCTACTACCTGGCCCTCAAGAAAAAGACGGTCCTGCAGGGGCTCTGGCGAATGGCTCACTGGAATAGAGAGCAGGGGGCAACGCAGAAGTTGCTATCCAACAATTTTGAAGACCCGAAATGGAGGACGACGGCGCTGAAGAATGCTTACGCGCTGCTAAGCAAGCGACGCTTCGGTAAGTCGTGAAGTGTGCCAGTGAACTTCGAGGGCTGACATATAGCCACACAGAGTACGCCGCAGCGTTTTTCTTACTTGCGGACCACCTACAAGATGCAGTCAATGTCTGTTTGAATCAACTTAAGGACCTTCAGCTCGCAGTAGCTATCGCGCGTGTCTACGAAGGAGATCGAGGTCCAGTATTGAAGAAGCTCCTGGAAGAAGAGGTACTAGCTGTGGCCGCCAAGGAGGGCAACCGCTGGCTCGCGTCCTGGGCCTTCTGGATGCTCAATCGTAAGGATATGGCGGTCCGGGCCCTGATCGTAAGTTCCGTTACATGGCTCTCAAATGATTTGCTATTTTCCGCCAGTACCTAACGTATCCTTGGTGTTGTAGTCACCGGTTTATACCCTGGTCGAGACGCCTTGCTCTCCAAACATGCAATCGAAATTGTTCCTCACGGACGACCCGGCGTTAGTGGTACTGTACTCACAGCTACGGCAGAAAACACTCCAGACCCTTCGCGGAGCCTCAAAGGTTACACCACGCGTCGAATGGGAGTTCGTCCTCCATAGTGCCAAGCTCTATGACCGAATGGGTTGCGATCTCCTTGGCCTAGACCTAGGTAATTTCCCCGCGACTGTATGCGCACTATTTAATGGATCTGACATGAAATTAGTACGCAACTGGGAGTTTCTGAAGCCAGCCCCGCCTATTACGAATGGACTAGGCGGTGAAGTCAACCCGCTGAAGCTACTGCGCCGACGCAGCTCACTTGTAGTTGCAGATCTGCCCGTGTCAAGGCTTCATTCCGAGATCAGACCAAGTGGGCAGGGAAAGCAATCAACCCCAACGGTTTTCCATGAACCGGACTCAAGCTCGCTGCTTGATAGTTTCGGGTTCTAATTACAGGAGCACAAAAGAGACCAGTTCCTACTGCAATACAATAGGACAGGATGTACGATATACCACCATTATCTCGTAAAATATGAATGCACGCGGCGGAAGATCATCTTCTCAAGAGGTTCAAGGTGACGAGAGGACTCGCAAATTGGGGATAAAAATCACCTGGGCGACGCTCGAGTGAGTGGACGAAGTTACTGCTTACTAAGCAGAAATTCGGTTTCTCCAGTCCGAGCACGTCATTCTCAATTGTTGCCGAACTCCGTCCGGACCAGCACCGGGACTGGTCTAGTCCTCTCTGTTGGCTGGCTATTTGATGTTCCACTGGTTAGGTACAAGGGCGAGTCGCGCGGCCCCCGATCCGATATTTATTGGAACATTATCATTACTGAGTACCTTAGTTAGTAGCCTTTGGTCGTGCAGGGGGACCCGGAAGATAACGACTTAATTACGGATCCCGTATCTCGACTTCATTGCATGCAGCGGTGAGGGGGACGTCACCTTTGGTGTTTATATGCTTGCTGTCTTATGTAATTGATTATCAGCCTTTGTATTGTTTCATTGCGCACGAAGTTCCCCTTAACTTTTGGTTGAGCGAAAGGAAGTTGGAACCCAAAACCAGCGCCACCTTAACTCACCCTCACCCTGCGGCTCTAGTCCTGTACAGGCACTCCCGTGCACACGTCCGCTGGATGAGTAACGATACAAACGCCAGGTTGGTCAGCACGCCCTTGACGCGCATAGTAGCAAGATTGTAAAACGCCTTCACACGCCTCGCTTCTGAACGCTCTGGTCGTGCTTCTCACATCGCGGCACTGCCCAGTCAGAATTTACGACATTGATCATGGCGCCTGATCGGGGATACCGCGACGATGCCGATGGCGACGTTCACGATACTGTTAGCAGCAGTAACCACACCCCAATGCCGCATGCTTCTTACCCAGAGAATGCTCCCGAGCGAGAGCCTGTCATCCACGGCCACAGCTTTACCATTCGTGGTGTTGCAGTCGGCCTGCTGGTCGGTTTGGTCATTTGCTTCTCCAACATGTATTTTGGCCTGCAGACGGGTTGGGTGAGCACCATGACTATGCCGGCTAGCTTGATGGGTTTCGGCATTTTCAAGGCCCTATCTAGGCACCTGCGATTCCCATTCAGTCCTGTCGAGAATGTCCTTGTGCAGACCGTGGCTGGAAGCATGGCCATCATGCCACTTGGCTGTGGTTTTGTCGGTGTAGTATGTTCCCCATGCCCCAGGCGCTGTTACCTCTCCTCCGCAACTTGATGTGATGAACAAGACGAGGTCAATGGCTGACATGTCACTTATCCTCGTTTAGATTCCCGCCATGAACTATCTCTTGGCTCCTGAGGAACAGGGGCCTCTCAACATCCCCTTGTGGAAGTTGATCACCTGGTCTCTTGGTCTTTGTTATTTTGGTGTTGTCTTTGCTGTCCCCCTGTGAGTTGGCCGCAGAAAACTTGCTCATCGGCCTTCAGTCTAACCTCCAATGCCAGTCGCCGACAAGTCATCATCCGAGAAAGGCTCCGTTTCCCCAGTGGATTTAGTACTGCTGTTCTTATCGGGGTCCTTCATGGTCAGACGCGGAAGGCCGGCCCCGATGCCGTATCAGGCGGCTTCGCGAGTCTCGTACCGGATGATGACTCGAAACCGGGTTTGACACTGGGGTCTGCTTGTAGCCACAACATTGCAGATCCCGAAAATGCCGGTTCCGAGGGCCTCGAGAGTCGCTCCCAGGATGATTGGGCTCAGAATGTGAGGCTACTTCTCATATGCTTTGGGATCTCGGGCTTGTACACTCTGTCCTCCTACTTTTTGCCTGCATTGCGAAGTATCCCTATATTTGGTACCGGTGCCGCAGGTACTTGGCTTTGGACGCTGAACCCAAGCCCGGCCTATATTGGCCAGGGCATTATCATGGGACCTGAGACAACTTTGCACATGCTGCTGGGAGCCACGATTGGATGGGGGCTTCTCTCTCCGCTAGCCAAGTATCGGGGATGGGCACCCGGTTCCATCGACGACTGGGAAACAGGCAGCAAGGGCTGGATCGTGTGGATCTCCCTGGCCATCATGCTAGCGGATGCTATTGTCAGCCTCAGTTACATTGCTTTCCGCCCCTTGGTCCAGCACGTTGCCAATGAAGGTGTGAAAGGTATGTGGCAGCAAACTGTGCTAGGTTGGCAACAGCACTTTGGGTTGAGCCGACGTTCCATCCCAACGTATACTGCTCTGAACACGGATGAGGTAGGAGAGGTGACGAGTACCTCCCGGCTCTTGTCTGATGAGTCGCAAACCTCTGTGGTCCGCCGTCGGTTTTCGACGTCGAGTGTCAGCGATGGTCGCGCCGACGAAGCAGACGCACCAGAAAACCAACAAATCGACAACAAGCTTGTTGCCGTGGGGCTGGTTTTGTCCATTCTGCTCTGTATCACCACCATACACATTGTCTTCGGCGATCTAGTTCCCCTCTATGCCACGATCGTTGCCGTCCTAATGGCTCTACTGCTTAGCATCATGGGTGTTCGAGCACTCGGTGAGACGGATCTGAATCCCGTATCCGGCATCAGCAAGCTTGCGCAATTATTCTTCGCACTCATTATTCCCCAGTCACATAAGTCCAGTGTGCTTATCAACTTAGTCGCAGGTGCAGTGGTAAGTTGTATCATAACCTCCAACTTCGGAGTCTAAGCAATCGCTAACTGAGCTTTCTAGTCTGAGGCCGTATGTCACTTAATGCTTCGCTAGTAACTTGACTGGAATCGACGCTGACTTGCTGAACTTAGGGGGCTCTTCAAGCGGGTGATTTGATGCAGGATCTCAAGACAGGCCACCTCTTAGGAGCCGCGCCTAGAGCCCAGTTCTGGGGCCAAGTGATTGGAGCAACAGCAGGCGCTGTAGTTAGTGCGTTCGTGTATCAGCTCTACACAGCGTGAGTTACACCAACATCGTTGATTTTCCAGAGACTAATCAAGCATTATCAGAGTCTATACGATTCCGGGAGATCTCTTCCAGGTCCCCACGGGATACGTATGGATCTTCACGGCCAGGCTAGTGACGGGCAAAGGCTTGCCGCCCATGGCACGTGAGTGGGCTATTGGCTTCGGTATCGTGTTTGCCTTCACGACAGTGGTGAGGACCATAGTGACCGGCAAACCTTGGCGTTCCCTTGTGCCGGGGGGTATTGCCGTAGCGGTTGGTAAGTGTGACCCGCAAATTATGATATCCCCTAAATCAGAGGCCCGGGGCAAGGCTGACCTAGAGATGGTAGGAATGTATAACGTCCCATCATTCACCCTGGCCCGGACTGTTGGCGGCCTGCTAAGCTGGTACTGGGTCTCGAGGCGAGGCGAGTCGAGCACGCCATTGATTGTGCTAGCATCAGTGAGTACTGACGGTGCCCACACGCGAACAGGAGTGTTAGCTGACGCAAGCTGTGTTTCAGGGCTTCATTCTCGGTGAAGGATTTCTCAGCATCGTGAATCTCATTTTGCAAAGCATTGCTGTTCCTCACTACTAGAAGCGCAGGTAGGAAACGACGTTTGTATGGCTAAGGTGTACGAGGTGTCCGAGGCCGATTGGTAAGAGGAACAGGGATAGGGGAGGCCGAGCGAGAGACTGGGGCTTTGGAGGAAATCCTGGGGAACAGCAGATAATGACAAAGCGACAATTTCCATGTCAAGGTTGGTCATCATGGCGAGTAGGAGGAAAATGTGGGTACTATTTATTTATTTCTTTCCAGGGATGTGAATGCTTTAGAAATTCAACCCGTGGGTTTTTTGTTCTCTTCTGGGGTGTTTCCCCATCCTTTTCTCTCTGTGCTTTTTATACCGCCTTTCTCCCTTTCTTCATTGGATTAATGAAGTCAATTTGGCTCTTGTGGTGCTGTTACGTGCCATATTTTATCCCCAAATTCGATAGTACGATGTGAGGAGGCGGTGGGTGCCAAAATGGCAGGCCGACCAATGCTTCATTTGACCCCTGTCCTGTTACCACTACGCTTCCTATGACTTCATTCATCCTTTTCATCTCTTCCTTGGGCTATTGTAAATATATGATAAAAAAGAAATAAAGATGGATAAGAAACACGGATTATTAGCAATAATACTGCTTATAGCAGTAGAAGGAAACTCTAAACGCTGTTCACTTGGGCGGCAGATCATTCTGTCACCCACTTGAGGGGTAATGGAGGGGTGGAGGGGTAATAGACAGTCAGAGAGGGGTAGGAAAAGGAAAGCAAAATGTTTAACCAAATTTCAGTCAAAAAGAGAAAACAAGAAAAAGACCTAAGAAAAAATAGAGGAAAAGAAAATGGGGGAAAAACATGAAAAATAAAATAAACAAAACCCTGGAAAGGCAGGCATCTAACAGCGTCTCTTCCCACCTACCCACCTAAGGTACTCTATCAAGGGTAGGTAACCTTCCAATCCAATGTCAACATACCTAGGTAGAGTGTAACTAAGGCAGCCATGGAAGGATGTAGTCCACCTAGCTTCATTGGATGGCGAATTAAGTAGGTACCGGCCAGCGTGCCTGCCGGACCCTTCCACGGTTCGGAATTGATTTTTTTTGGGCCCCAGCACAGTCCCACAAGCTTAGAGAAGGAGGAAAATATCCAATCCTTCACTCAATACCTCTCCCAACTCCAAGGTGCCTGACATCAACTTGAGCAAGGAATTCCCACCAAAAAGACCAGAATAAAATATCTCGTCGACGAGGAAGCCGACGCCTTGCACACGTGCACTTATCTTGTTTGTCAGGGAGCACGAATCATTCCAAGTCGACCCGGAAGTGGGCGAGAAAGAAAAGAAGTCATAGAAGCAAATATCGACTCAGCCTTGAACATGACCCAAGACGATCTCAAGAACGGTGCTCGCGCCGGTTCTGATGTCTCGTCTGACGAGTCTGACTGGGACGACGCGGAGCCCGAAGAAGAGGAGGCACAATCCTTCATTTCCTTACTTGACGATACCGTCTTTCCTGACGTTGATGCCATGTTGTGTCACTGTCGCACTAAGCACAACTTTGACTTCCTCGCCATCCGCCGTCGGCTTGGTCTTGACTTCTTTGGCACCGTCAAGCTTGTCAACTTCAGTAAGTCTGGGACCTAGTACATAATGTGGATGCTTCACATCGAGCCAACGACACTTCTCCCTTAAAGATTGAGGGCTTGCTGACTCATGCATAGTTCGTCAACGTATTCATGATGGCGCTGGTCTGCCCGAGACTATCTCTGTCGACGACATTGCTGACGAGCGCTACATGAAGCCCGTCATTGAAGACGACGCCTTGATCATGGCCCTAACCGAGCTAGATCTTGACAACGAAACGCCAGAGCATCCTCAGCAAGCGCCACAAAGGGGTGCCTATCGGGAAGCTCAGCTTGAAGAAGAGTTGGCACAGCTTCAGTCCCAGTTCGCAAAGTACCGCAATGCTGTTGAGCAGACTCTAGACCAGCGCTGGGGAGAAGACACGCTCGTTGCGGCCCGGGGCGAGAAGCCGCGTGGTCCGGACGATAAGGGTGTTCGGAAGGATGAGTCTCAGTACTACTGGGAATCATATGCCTCCAACGGTAGCCGACGCTCATCCTGAAGTTCGGATGCTTATTGTGCTAACGTCCCTTCTCAGATATTCACGAGACGATGCTGAAGGACAAAGTCAGAACAGACTCTTACCGTGATTTCGTCTACAACAACAAGTCTCTATTCAAGGACAAGATCGTGCTCGATATTGGCTGTGGTACCGGTACGTCTCGCACCAAAAGCGACTGCCAGCTTTGTATACCTTCATATCTAAACCGTGATCTCTACGACAGGCATTCTGAGCATGTTCTGTGCCAAGGCCGGTGCGAAGCAGGTCTTTGCCGTTGACAAGTCCGATATCATCGACAAGGCCCGCGAGAACGTCTTCAACAACGGCCTCACCGACAAGGTTACCTGTATTAGAGGCAGAGTCGAGGATATCAGTCTTCCTGTCGATCAAGTTGACATCATCATCAGCGAATGGATGGGCTACTGCCTGCTTTACGAGGCCATGATGAACAGTGTTCTCGTTGCTAGAGACCGTTTCCTGAAGCCCGACGGCCTCATCGCCCCGAGCATCTCCACCATCTGGGTGGCGCCCGTCTCGGATCCAGAGTACATCACCGACTTCGTTACCTTCTGGGATGACGTCTATGGCTTTGACATGAAGTCAATGAAGGAGGGCATCTATGATGAGGCTCGCATTGAGATCATGCCAAAGGACTGCATCTGCGGTACCCCCTCGCAGATCTCATATATTGACCTGCACACCGTCAAGATCGAGGACCTCGATTTTGAGACTCAGTGGAAATCAAATGTGACCAAGGACATTCCGTCACTTGACGGCTTTTTGACCTGGTTTGACATCTTCTTCACGACTTCTCGGAACGATTCGATTCCGGCGGATCTACAGGTCAAGGCCGGCGAGACCAGTGTCACTAGACCTGGCGAGGTGGCCTTCACTACCGGCCCTGCAGGTCCTGACACTCACTGGAAGCAGGGTTTCCTGATGAACAAGTATCTTGAGGAGAACGCTAGTGTCACGGCCGGCACCGAGATCTCTGGGCGCATTGTCTTCAAGGCACCCGAGAATAATCCCCGGGCGCTGACTATCAGCAATACTTGGACTGTACCAGGCCAGGACAGCAGGAAGCAACTGTGGAAACTCAGATGAATCAGTTACAGACTCCAAATCCGCGATTCTAAGCCACATCACCGACACGCAGATCTCCATCGATTCATGGCCAGGGACTGCTGGTAAAGGTTCAGAGGCGTTCATCCTCGAGATTGACTTCTCGTCCTGCCTACATCATGTCGGCCCTCTTGCAGGGCGTGATAGATCACGGTCAGATGATTGTCCATATGCTAGCATGCCAATCGCAAGTCTGGCCGGCATGGCATCGTCTGTGGCGAGACATCATAACACTGTAGAAGAGGGCTAGGATGCGCACATACAGGCAGAGGCAAACAAGCTAGATGGATGCTTAGTCTAGTCCCAACTTGAAAAAAGCTTCCAGCTTCGGGATAGATAGAACTCTCAAGTATCGGCGCCTTCTAAAACACGCGTGTGCATGTAGCTGATCGCGATTAAGGATTTACAAGCATTGTGCTAATGAATCATGCATTTCACGTGCTTTTTGGATCCTCGCTTTTCGTGACTTCTTTGTTGTCGTCGTCTTCGTCTTCGTCTTTGTCTTCTTCCTCGTCATCCTCCTCCTCGCTGTCTTCATCTTCCTCTTCTTCGCCATCAGATACTGCTTCTCCCAGCTCCTTGAGTTTTGCCTTACGTGCACTAGATTAGTCCGAGAGACTGGCTCATGTCTTGGCTTCCGACTCACCTTGTACTTGGCTGCCTTCTCCTCTAGGTCGCCAAACACCATGAGCAAATCATCAAGCTCGTTTTGAGTTGCCTTCCTATCCTCCTGGGCCTTCTTGATAGTAACGTCGTGCTGAGAACAACGTCAGAATACATGCATGTCTCTCAATGTCAAAGTTTTGGCAGTGAACTCTCGCACCTGGGTAATCCTCTCTTGCGCCTCACGTAGGTTCTTCTCGAGCTGCTCCACGCGGGCGTTGGCTTGAGTGGCAAAATCCTCCTGGTCATGCTCCTTCTTCTCAAGCTGTTCCCGAATGGCTTGAATCTCCTGCGCCTTGGTCTTCTTGGCCTGTGAAGGAGTCAGCCTCACATTCGGACAATGCCGGGGTTATTTAGTTAGTCACCTTCATGAGATCAACCTCAAGACGGCTTATGGTGGCCTTGAGATCTGCCATGTCCGCCTCCGCCCGGTGGCGAACGCGGTCGGCGTCCGACTCGGCTGTCTTGCGCACCTGCTCTAGCTGCTTGCGATGCTCCTCCGACTGCGAGGCGGCCTGGGCTTTGGCGGTCTGCCGTGCTTGCTCGGCCTGTTTTTCAAGCTCGCCCTCAAGCGCCCTAACGCGGGAAGCTGTGTTTCTCTGTACTTCCTCAAGTTGTCTCTTGTTCTGTTGCTCGAGAGCTGCGACGTGAGTGGCTGTTCTTCGCTGATCCTCCTCTAATCGCTTGCTGTATTGCTGTTCCAGGGCCGCATTTTGAGATTCAACCTTGCGGTTTGTCTGCTCAACCTGTTTTCTGTGTTCTTCCTGAAGGTTTGTGATTTTACTTTGCAGATTCCTAACAGAATTGATTCGTGAGTGACATCACTGAAAACTAATTGTCGAGACTTACCGTAGCTCTGCGTCGTGTTGTCTTTGCATTCCCTCATTGACTTGATTGATTCTGGCCAATTCCATAGCAGTCGTCTCCCGAGTTCGCCTATGGTCGGCTTGTTCCTGGCCGAGTTGTCGACTGACCGTCTCTAAGCTGACTTGAGCCTCTTGTAAAGCTTGCTGCTTTTCAGCTAATTGACTTCGTAGTGAGTCTACAAGTTCTCTGGACACCCCCGTCTGGACACCATTCTTGACCACGGAAATTTCCAAGCCGGGATCTCGATCGATACCACGCAATATTCGGCTGTAGTTGTCCTTGAAGAAGTCGATGAATGTCAAGTCAAAATAGACATCTGGCAGACTGCCTAATCCGGAATTACTAAGATTTTGAGGAATAACCTCAAAATCCCTAACCAGCGGGTCGCTTCTCAACTTAGACAGCTTGTCGATGTATCGTTCGCGGCCCATCCGAGAAATAAGAATAGAATGAAGGTCAGCTCGGGGAATGGGTGAGTCTTTTGTCGAGAACTCATATAGAACGCCCAGCAGCATCGCGCAAAGACCCTGAACAAGGTCGCCAGTCGCATATGGATGGTTCACTGCCTGTATAAGGCTTTGAGTATTCGCCCCTTCTCCAAGAAAGTCGTTGACCGCATCCAAATCCTCAAACAGCCAGCAAAGGAGCAGCATGAGGTAGCCAACGACAACCCGGCTATCCTCGTCCCGGTTCAAGCCGGATATCAAATGAGCAGCAATAGTCTGGATACTCGTGACAACTTCCTCTCCGCTTTCAGCATCGCCTTCTGAGACAGCCATGACCAAGTTTTTGGCCTTTGGATTATCAAAAATCAGGTGCATCATGATTGTGGACGCAAACCAACTTCGGTAAGGATTAGCGACGGCTGCGTCTGAAGAAGGCCGCAAAAGCACCGTTAGGACATTGGCCGTCTCGTCAGCTCCCATGTCATGTCCCTCAATCGCTCTCCGCAGGAAATGTAAGCGAATGTCTGCATGATTGTAGAAGTAAGCCTTGAGACAATCGCACGCGGCTAAACGTAAATCGAACGCCTCCAGATCCTGAACGCTGAGGGTGAGGTCCAAGAGACCATCAATCACATAAACCTTGACGGCGCCGTTGGCTTGCCCCGATCCAGCTGATGAAGGCGATTCGAGAGGAGACGGGACTTCAAGCTGCGCGAAACCTTCTTGGAGGCTCGGGTTGCCCTTGATGATGTCGGCGCAGGTTACTAGAGCCTGCAGGCGCCTTCTTAACATGATAGCACAAAGATCAGCGATGGGAGACAACCAACCTCGGCCTTGATTGGAAGCTGGGCTACATGGCTGAAGGCCAGTTGTAGGGCGTGGAACAGCAAGCCATGCTGCCAAAAGGCAAGCTGGTTCTGCGGCGTCCCCACAGCCCCTGCTACTAGAAACAGACGAACGACAGCCAGAAGCGCGTATATGTTCCGGTCACGCTGGGCCTGCGCCCACGCTGCAATCTCTGCGCCCACCCGCTGAGCCTTCTCTGCACCTTCTAGTAAAATAGACAAACGATGGATGCCGCCCGATTCGCGGAACAGGGACTGATTTGATGGGTTCCTCCTGAGCAGGTTTGCGACTAGAATCAGGCAGTCCTCCACGACACGATCCCCTTCGGGAAGGGAACCTTCTGCAGAAATGATGCCAAAGAGTCGATCAAAGGCATTCTCGAATGCCACGAGTTTCTGAATATCGGTCGACGAGGGTGTGAGAAAGGTGAGGAGTGTGATTGCTTCGTTTCTGACGGCCTCGCGGCTGTCATCTAGCACAGCGACAAGGCGAGATACTCCCAGAGGGGCAGTGAAAATGCATTCTTCTGTACGCTCGGTTCGGGCAGAAAGGATGGCAGCTAGCAGCTGGAGTGAGTACAGCCTCGTGTAGAAGTCGGTGGAGTCGAGGAAATCTAGAAGGAGAGTGATGTTCTCCTGGCGCTGTGTGAATTCGTCAGCAAGCCACAGAGCAATCTCCTCCGAGGCCTCCGGACTGTCTTCGTTAGGACTGAATAGCATGAGCAGGGTCTCGAGGACGACCTTGACAGTGTCGACATCTTCGGCATCTTTGCTCAGGCTGCCTATTAGACTGCGAAGAGCTCCAGAGGCGACAGAGGCAGGGAAGTCCTTTGCAAAGCTGCGCAAGCCGAGTATAGCAGCACGACGATCTTCAAGGAGCGTGGCTGAGCTCAGCCGACCGCTCAGAACGGTGATGGTCTCACCGACCGACTGCTTCGCCGGTGCAGTGGAAATAGAAAACATGCTGTCTTTTTAAGTGCCGGCCATCGGGAGCTAAGATAGACGATGAGGAAGAAAGAGAGAAGTGCAATGTTAGAGACAAAAAGCTGTAGACAGACGGGTCATGTAGAGGTAGAATGAAGCATTGGGGCAGCCAGGTTTGGCTGCTGTTGTGTAGAGCTTTATTTCGTCGCACGACGAGAGGCCTGGGACTTTCTGCATCTACAAGCACGTATGAGGAACGTTTACGGATACGAAAGGTGTACTTCGGTAGCTGATCGAACCGATACAAAGATATACCGCATATATGCAAGTATGCAGCCACATGCTCTCGTCACTGGAATAGCAGAAGACTGCCTAGCGAAGTATCGGGAATATCGAAGAAGCAGCACATCATGCTACGTAGCCATAACCTTCGGGGGAGCTCGACTTAGTCAGGAGTCGCGAGTAGTACTGGACCCGAATACCTAGCATGTACTAAGGTTCCTACCTATCTTACCTGCCGTGTGGATGTACCTACGTACCTAGCCGGCGGCAAAAGTGACGCTCGCCCGGAAACCTCAAACTGAGAACCTAGTGATGACCTTGAATCTAAGGTATTACATTCGACCGTGACCCTCCCAAAGCCAGCGTTCATTGTTTGCGCAACGGCACCCTGTCCGAATGCATAACAGTGCCTTGTCTCTTTCCACCTCGGAGAGAAATTGGTGCAGCACAAACCTATAGTAGGCGCACTTTTGTCTCTTGCTCAAGGAAGCCTCGAATTTTCATTCTAATTGCTGCACCACCTTCGTCTTCGATCTCGATTCCGCGACTCCGAACCATCGCATGCTACAGCATAACAACGTTTTCTCTCTTTCCCTAGGTTTACGGTCAAGCAAACTCTCTCGCTGCCAGGTTCCAGCATCCATGCGTCACAGTCTTCTCTCAATATATTCTTCTGCGACGCAAGAGCTACCTGCTCTTGTAACCCTTTGTGCGACGACCATCGCCACGAAATCAATACATAAGCTCTAAACCCGCCTTGTTGCAGATACTTCGTGTATTTGAACATTATTCAAGATGGGTATCCCGGCGGCTTTCCGATGGCTGTCAAACAAGTACCCCAAGATCATCTCCCCAGTCATCGAGGAGCAACCCGTCAAGATGGATGATGGGTCAGAAATCCCCGTCGACACGACTGGGCCTAATCCAAATGGCGAGGAGCTCGACAACCTGTATCTCGACATGAACGGTATCGTCCATCCATGTTCCCACCCCGAGGATCGTCCCGCCCCCAAGGACGAGGAGGAGATGATGCTTGAAGTTTTCAGGTATACGGATCGTGTTGTCAATATGGTCCGGCCGCGGAAGCTGCTGATGATTGCTGTTGGTTAGTCCCCCTCCCCCCATATCATTGATTTCATCCGTCGATACCGTGACTTAACAAGATGATTTTTGCGTAGACGGCGTCGCGCCACGTGCAAAGATGAATCAACAACGATCTCGTCGGTTCCGATCTGCGCAGGAAGCCCAGGAGAAGGAAGAGGATAAGCAAGAGCTATTGAAGTTGTTGAAGCAGCAGAATGGTGGCGCAGTACCCAATGACACGCTCGAGGGCGTCACTAAGAAGGCTTTTGACTCCAATTCCATTACTCCCGGCACTCCCTTCATGGACATCTTGGCCTCAAGCTTAAGATATTGGTGCGCGTACAAGCTTAATACGGACCCAGCCTGGGCGAAACTCAAGATCATCATCTCCGATGCGACAGTTCCCGGCGAGGGAGAACATAAGATTATGTCGTTCGTGCGATCTCAGCGCATCTCTCCCGACTACGACCCGAATACCCGACACGTCATCTATGGCCTCGATGCCGACTTGATCATGCTTGGTCTCGCAACTCACGAGCCTCACTTCCGAGTTCTGCGTGAGGATGTCTTCTTCCAAGATAGCAAGGCCAAGATGTGCAAGCTTTGTGGACAGAAGGGCCACGAGGCTCGCGCTTGTCGTGGGCAGGCCAAGGAGAAGGTCGGCGAATTCGACGAACAGGAGAAGAGTCCCACTTTGAAGCCCTTCATCTGGCTCCACGTTCCCATTCTGCGGGAGTACTTGGCAGTGGAGCTGAATGTCCCAGGTCTGCCCTTCCGCTTCGACCTGGAGAGGGCCCTTGATGACTGGGTATTCATGTGCTGTTTCGTTGGCAACGACTTTCTGCCTCACTTACCGGCACTGGAGATTCGGGAGAACGGAATCGACACCCTGACAGCCATTTGGAAAGACAACTTGCCTTTCATGGGTGGTTATGTCACCAAGGACGGTCACGTCGACTTGAGTCGAGCGCAGTACATTCTCAATGGCCTAGCGAAGCAAGAGGATGCGATCTTCAAGAGGAGAAAGGAGACCGAGGATCGTAGAGAGGCCAGCTTCAAGCGGAGAAAGCTTCAAGAGGAGCAACGTAACCCCAGGTTTGCCAAGCCAAAGCAAGTCGATGATGCATCTGCTGGCTTGAGCTTGTTTGCGGTGGCAGGAGGACCGAATGGCATCACCCACGACAAAGTAGTGGGTCGGTCTTCTAATATGAACGCCAACACTGCCAACAAGAGTGCCGCAAGCGCTATACGGGACCAACTCAAAGGTTTGATGCCCAAGAATGGGATCAGTCAAGAAGATGACTCGGCGAAGGTCACGAAGGACGAAGTCCCCCAGCCGGCGGATGAAAGTACCGTACTGGGAAAACGCAAAGCCGAAGATGACACTGCAGCAAAGGCTGATTCCGCCGCGGCCAGCGCAAAGGGCCCCAGCACGTCATCCGCTGCCGAGGAGGCCGCGGTGGATCATGTCAGAATGTGGGAAGAGGGTTACGCCGATAGATACTACGAGCAGAAGTTCCATGTTGATCGGAGCGATCTCGAGTTTCGGCACAAGGTTGCGCAGGCTTACGTGGAGGGCCTGTCGTGGGTTTTGCTGTACTATTTCCAGGGCTGTCCCTCATGGGAATGGTATTACCCATACCATTACGCGCCCTTTGCTGCAGACTTTGTCGATCTTGACAAGATGGATGTTCATTTCGAAAAGGGGCGGATTTCAAAGCCATTTGAGCAGTTGATGAGTGTGCTGCCCGCGGCCTCTCGTCACGCGTTACCCGAAGTTTTCCATGAGCTTATGCTGAATGAGGATAGCGATGTTATCGACTTTTACCCGTCAGATTTTGAAATTGATCTGAACGGAAAGAAGATGGCATGGCAGGGAGTAGCACTGCTGCCGTTTATCGAAATGCCAAGACTGCTCGCCGCCATCGAGACGAAGTACCCTCTCCTGAGCGAGGCAGATCAGGCGCGAAATGGTGTCGGAAGGGATGTGCTGCTCTTATCAGATGCTCACCACGAACTGTATGATGAGATCACCACTGGTTTCTACTCGAAGAAGCAGGGAGCGCCGACGCTCAAGCTCAGTCCACGGACCAGTGACGGTTTGGCTGGCAACATTGAGAAGATTCCTGATTATCTGCCTCACGGAGAGTTGGTGTATCCCCTGGAGCGTGGAGGAATGCCAACTTTGGACTACGATAGGTCTCTGAGGTAAGTTGATCTCGCAAATGTCGTCGACTGTTAATGACCGTGGCTAACGTTGAAGCAGAGTATGGTACACGTTCCCAGAAAGCTCGCATCCTCACAAGTCGATGCTACTGCGTGGTGCCAAGCCTCCAGCTCCAGCTCTAGATCGCAACGACATCGAGACTTTGAAGGGGAAGTCAGCGCGAGGCGGGCGTGGCTACGGCGGAGTCCCCTTTCAACGTGGCGGCGGACACCACAATGGCGGTCGGAGGGGGGGCCAATTCAGTTACGCTCCTGATGGCGGACAAGGTCGCCAAGACCGAGGACCGCCTTCTTACGGCAGTAATGGTGGTTACGGACGGCAGGGATTCCATTCGTCGGGGCCACCGCCCATCCAGTCCTCATGGCAACCTCCCCCTCCAGGGCACCCTGGGTTCGGCATGGGTCTCCCGCCGCCACCTCCTCCATCGGGATATGGAAACGACGGACGAGCATCCAACGGTTCCTACCGCGGAGGAGGCTACAATCAGCACCACAACTACGGGCCCCCGCCACCAGGGCCACATTCGCAGTACAGCTATCCCGATGGAGGTCGGCAAGGAGGCCGTGGGGGCTATCAGGGCCGCGGGGGCTATGGTGGTGGACGCGGCGGCGGCGGCGGCGGCGGAGGAGGAGGAGGAGGAGGTGGAGGTGGAAGTGGCAGATTTGGCGGCGGCCGCAACAATTACTGATGGTTCGAGGGCTGTTGCTGTCGGATACAAACATACCGACCATGGAAGCGCACAGATGTTCTTTTCATGACGAAAGCAGGAGGGTTGGGAACACAGGAACTGTCATCGGTATCAGCTGCATAGCGTATGAATAGTGTAAATTGGCTGGCATTGTAGACGCGTCGCCAGAGACGTGGCGTGTTACTCCAAAGAAATGATTTCTGCTAGGTAGCGTGGATAGTGCCATAGGTGTAAGGTATGGCAGTAGGTACGTATAGTAAGGTAATTATTACCTTAGAAATACCGAAGCTACCACTACCTACCCGTACCTTACCTTGGCTTTTGGAGAACCTTGGCATCCCATCCCGTTCCGCGCACACCAACCCCACTCGCCTCGAAAGTACCGCTGAGACGTGACATTCGCTGCTTTGCGTTGCGTTGCGTTTCGTGCAGACCGGATCTCGACAATTGAAAGTAGGTGTTTGGCACTTTGGCTCGTGGACTGTGGACAGTGCTCGGTCTGTCACCCTCTTATGAGACAGAATCGTCTCACTTTCCCGTCCACTCCACCAAGTGAGGTCGGTGACATAATCGTTTGCTGCTCTATGAACCCTAGCTCTTTTCCCACTGCTCTTTGTTCTGTACTTTTTAGAGAGTAATCCCTAGTGAATATATGAATAAAAAAAATACAGGTAATAGCAGAGATATAGATAGAAAAAATAAGAAGAAGAATCAGAAAGCTGAGATTTATAAACAGGTCGTAAGTAAGTATCATGATTTTTTGTTG